AAAACTCATGTTTGGAATCCTATCTAGAATGTGACTGAATATAGAGACAATCAAGTTAAACATATTGATGAGAGTAGGTCCTAATCAATATGATCAGAGTCCTTATGAGAAGAGATTAGAATAGGAGGAAGAAGATGTGAAGAGATACAAGGAGAAGATGGTCCTATAGGCCAAGAAGAGGCCTGGAGATTCTCTCTCACACCCTGGGAAGAAATCAGCCTGCAGGCACCTTGAGCTCAGACTTTTGCCCTCCAGAAATGTGACACAGTAAGCTTTTTTTGGTGAAGGACCCCTCTCTGTGGAATTTTGTTAGAGCAGCCCTAGGAAACTAATACAGGGCTTTCATACATACGTCAATTATAACAGTTTAGAAGCCAAAGCGCTGTTCATCTTCATCATATTTTCTGATAAGACCTGGAGATGGTGCAGTCATAAGGAAAATGCTGTTTCTAGGCCTCGTACATTGGAAGAAGTCTTGAAGGTGATTGTGTGTGTGCGTGAAGATGGCTGTGTGCATGCATGCACACACGATTCCCAGTGACAACCATGGTGCAGGTCCCTTTAAGGCCTACATCAGTGATACATATTATGACAAAGGTGATCTGCAGAGCCCTTTACCTCCTCCTCACATTCTGGCAAATGGCCACAATTGCCAGTTTTACTTTACTCAAAAGCCTCAGGAACTGGTGGTCTCAGGCAAACATAACTATCCTGGCACCACTTACCATTTTTTTTTTTTAATTCAAACACTGAGTTCTGAGGATGTTTCAGTCCTGTTGTTCTCAGTCTTCTGCTGACAGCTGGCTGCACATCTGTTTTCTGTGGACCAAAAGGCTCATCCTATAGGTCACAATTCAGAGGCTGCCTGGAGAGTGCCAGGTGGGTGGGCTTGACTCTGTCATACCTGAAGCTTTTGCTGGTGTGGGTTGATGTTCACGGCCTTGCCCCTCATTGTTGGTATTAGAACATGAAGGTGTATTAATGTTACCTGACTGCACGGAGCAGCGGTTTCCTCACCTGCTGACCATCGAAACAGTAGAACCAAGTGAGGTGAAACAGCCTAATTGCTTACTTAGCTGGTCCAGAGTAGGCCGAGAGCATGCAGCACATGTTAGTGGCTGCTGCTATTATCCTGATCAATATCATCTTCATGGCAAGTCCAGTCCTGTGGTTGACTCTGAGGGAATAGAGGACTGAGGAACCTGTTTTTCAAGTGCCATCTGGTCCCCTGCCCCTGACCATAGCTAGCTAAATTAAAATGGGGACATTGAGGATGTGAGCAGATGTGAAAACAGAATTCTAAGTTAGTGTTCCCTCAAGTGGCTTTTGCAAAACCTTATGCTCACATAACTGCAAGAAGGTCTCTGTCCAGTCCTCCAATTACCCCAGACTTCACACCTGGAGGACAAGCCGGTGAGCTCTGGGGCACTTCCGGGCAAGACCCTTCAATGTCAGGTTCCCAGAGTTTGTCCACTGTCGTTTCTACCTTTGGTTGCATCTGACTTTGGCTCCAAGACCAACTTCTTAAAGCTTTGAACATTAAAAATCATGTATAGGAGCTGTGGACTGTCTTCTTGGGATTCAATAAGTGGTAAAGGGTATAAATAATTGTCTAAAGTTTGAACACTGTCAGCAGTTCATTTTAAAAATACAGGGCTTTTCATGCAATTATAGAAAAACAAGAGTTATCTAAAATGTTTCTATTAGTCAAAAGAGGTTTCGTGCTGGACAGCAGACAAATAGGCCTGCAAGCATGTCACTGCCTCCACACAGAACACAGCACACAAGAAATTCATGCTGATGTCATTGAAAGCAGCCGCAACCCATATAGCAGCACGCCAGAAATTTTGATAACATGAGCAAAAGAGTCAGGTAAAGGCCTTGTGAAATGACTGAATTGATCATGTCGTGTGTTAAACCCCAACTTTTATTTTGTCCACAAAAAGGTTACGTTGATCTTTTCATATTACCAATGAAACCTTTAATATTGTTTTACGATTTCTCTAAAGGTATGAGACAAAATTGACTTGATGTATCCTCAATTCAGAAAGGTAAGCTGAGCAATTGTGAAAGAGAAAAAGGAGACTTTTCTGACTTTGTCACTTAAGAAAAAAAATGAACCCTGAATAGAAAGGCCAACAGATGGAGGAATGTACTAGAATGAGTGATTCGTTCTTTTAAGTAATTACTGGTTTGGTAGCAGTCCTGGTTCTCTTGGAATGTCTAGTCAGGCATTTCCCCCAAAGCCTGTTACCTTTTACTATGGAAATAATTTGGTAGCTACGGTGCTGCAATGAGCAACCTGTAGACAGGGCATTCAAAAAGGTAGGAAAGGCACAGTAATGTTCAGGTTCCCGAAACACTTTCGTGCACAGAATCCTGAAATATTAATAACTTCATTTCTCCCGTTCTTATATTGCACTTCAAATAGTTTATGTATTATATATTCTACCTTCTACTATTGTAGATATTGAATATCCAAAGCCTTTTGGATATTGAAGTCAGCATGGAAAAAGCAAAGAAACTGATTGGAATTTTAATAACTTTGCTGAGTTCTCACCTTCATTTCAGATATTGAATGCACTAGAATACATAGGTAATATAACACAATATTCTAGGTCAGTGGTCGGCAAACTCATTAATCAACAGAGCCAAATATCAACAGTACAACAATTGAAATTTCTTTTGAGAGCCACATTTTTAAACTTAAACCTCTTCTAAGACCACTTCTTCAAAATAGACTTGCCCAGGCCGTGGTATTTTGTGGAAGAGCCACACTCAAGGGGCCAAAGAGCCGCATGTGGCTCATGAGCCCCAGTTTGCCGACCACAGTTCTAGGTGAAGGACCCTGAGTTCAATTAGGTAAGATCTTTGAAATCGATACATAAAATATTATTGATAACTATACTGAGGTCTCTGACTTGCAAATTGTATGCAAGACTTTCAATTTTGATTACAACAAAAAGGGTGTGCCTACTTTAAAAGAAGTATATGGGCACCAACAGAACTATGATTCATAGCATTAACAAAAGTGGAAAGCACTTAACTAAGACACGGTTCTTTTTAAAAAGATTTCCTTAGTTTTCACTTGAGATCTCTACTTTCCTGCATCTTTTAAAATGTGGGCTGTAGTCCAGGTGACCTCTACGATGTCTTCCAAATCTAACATGTGATTCTGTGATTCTATAAAAACAAAATGATATTCCTTTCCCCCTGATCCCCAAAGTCATCTTCACTGTGAAGAATGAAAAAAAAAAAAGGTAAGAGACTGCTCCAGAGAGTTCTGATTACCAATAAAATAACAAAGGCATTTCTACAAAATATTCTCCCACATAATTTGTATAAATTCTATTTGAAAAATAAACTGAGACCCCTCCCCCCCAAGCAACCCCTGGGGCTTGGCTCAAGTCATAGGCACCTTACATCAGAGCCAGCATTGGTTCAGAATGAACCTCTGACGTTAACGTGTTAAATCCCACTCACTTGGAGATGTCTTTCCAGACCTGCCACATCCATCCTATTCCTAACTCAAGAAGTAAGTGGCACCTAACCCCCAGAAAAGATGCACCAGTGGGATAGTTACTTGGTAACAACAGACCTCAGTCAAGAATTAAGTGCCCTTCTCCGCTAGAGTTAGGATGCTATTTGCTTGCGTATCCCAGGGGCTCTGGCTCTAGTGAAATTGGCAGAACAAGCATTATTTGATTAGTGTGAAAGATCCTGCAGTGAAAGGTACAGAGGCAGGTGACAGGAGACTGATCGCTTCTGACACACTGGCTGTAAAAAGACCATAAAGAGGTCATTCGAGTCTTCTAAACATAACAATTACTCTTCTTAAATCTAGAAGAAGCCCATGTAAAAATACGATTTTATTAAGTAACGTTTAATACTGATTCAGGAAAACATCAACCAACTTGAATATGACAAAGAGCACCTGACGTGGGAAGAAAAAACCCTCCTGCACCTGCCTGTAGCCAGGTGGGAACATACATCAGGAGAGTCTTTCATTCTCCGCTCTCAAGTCCTCTGGGGTTTCTTTTCGGTAAAGCTGCCATCTGGTACAATGGGTGAGAAGACTCAGGCATCAAACTTGTCCCTTATTTCAATTTTTAGGGAAAAATCGTAGCCCTGATGAAAGACTTAACTACTGAGGAAACCAAAGGAAGAAACAGGTCTGAGAAGCCAAGGCCTTGAATCTCTACCTGAGAGCCAGGTACCAGGCATTTCCTTGTTACTTACAGACACTCACACCACACTTCTGCCTTTCCCCTGAAATTGCTCAAGAGCAAAACTTTCAGCTTTATGCTAGCTGCTGCTCAGGAAAAGCAAGCAGAGCCAGGGGGCAGGTTCAGCAGAGGGCACCTGGACCTCTGGCAGAGCGTCCCACCACAGAGCCCCACTTGCAGGGCACCCACCTGAGAAGTTGGGGAGGAATCCGTGTGTGTGTGTGTGTGGGGGGGGGGTGGTAAACTAGGTTGGACATCTGGATCCTGCGTTACACATAAAGTTTCACCTTTAAGGACATTATGGGGACAGGAGAGGGAGGAAAGAGGAGAGTGGGGGAGACTATGGCTGGCGAGGAGAAAAGGCAGAGAAGGAGGCGGTGATGGGGGAAGGGGTGGAGGACTGGAAAGAGAGGAGTAGATGGAGGAGTGGGGAAGAGGATGAAGGATGGAGGAGAGAGGGGTAGAACTGAGGGACACCGGGGGAAGGAGCTAAGAGGGAGAGGAGAAAAAAGAGAAGGCAGGAAGCGAGAAAGCAGGAGAGTGCATTCTGGAGAGATAAGAAGTGAGGAGATCGGCGGTGGAGACAGGGTGTGGGGGGGATCAGGAGGACGGGATGGAGAAGTAGGGAAGGATGATACGCATGGGGAAAGAAGTGGAGTCTCCCGGTTGGAGGCCCGTTTCCCATAACAGTCCGGTCCCGCAGCGAGATGGCAGAAGGGTGCCAGCTCCCTGGATAGGACCGCGGGCCGCGCGCCCCAGCCCTTCCCGGCTTACCTGGCCCTTGACCAGGCTGGCAGCGAACTGGCGCATGACGGCCTCCACCGTGTAGGCGCTGGACCAGCCGCGCGGCGTGAGCAGCTCCATGCAGATGGCGCCGCCGTCCAGCACGTAGCCGTTCTCCAGGCGCGGGCTGAGCACCCGCATGAAGGGCGGCGAGAAGGGGAAGTTGTCGGGGAAGGTGAGGTTGAGCAGGATGAACTCGGTGTTGGTCTCCTTCATGTCCTGCCACAGCACCGAGTCCTTGTCCACCTGGTGCAGCTTCACGTTCCAGTCGAACAGGCTCTCGTCCACCAGCTCCACGGAGATGAAGCGGTCGCTGAGGCGCGCGATGTCCTGCAGCTCCTTCATGAGCCGCCGGCTGCGCACCTGCGTGCAGTGCTGCTGGCGCGCCGCGGGCATCAGGCTGCCGCCCGCCGCCGCCGCCGCCCCCGCCGGGCCCGGCCCCGCCCTGGCGCCGGTCGCAGGCTCCCGGGGCCCCCCAGCGCCCGCCGCCCCCGCCGCCCCGGCCGCCAGCTGCGGCGGCTTGTCGCGCGGGGCCAGCTCCGGCGCGCGCTTGCCCTTGCCCTTGCCCGGCCCGGGACTGGCGTCGCCCGAGCCCCCGGGGGGGTGCTGCTGCTTGTGGCCGCTGCTCTTGCCGCCGCCCTTGCCCCGCAGCGACGCGCTCTGCTGGCCGCCGCCGCCGCCGCGGTGGTTGTGGTGGTGCTTGGGGTCCTCGGTGTCCCGGTTGTGCAGGCGGATGAGCCCGATCTTGCGGAGCAGCGTGGCCATCTTAGGCTCGGCGCCGGCTGGAGGCTTTCCTCGGCTCCTGCTGCCGGAGCCCGAGGGCCGGGGCTCGGGGCGCGGCGGCGGGCCGACCGCTCAGCGGGGCGCGGCGCGGGCCACTCCGGGCACCGGCTGCCGTGGCGCAGCGGAGCGGGCAGCAGCGGGCTGGCTCTCCGGCCGCCGGATCGCCGCTGTCATAGGACGGGGCCCGCTCTGGCTCGGGCTCCGGCCGCCCGGGGAGCGGAGGGAGGAGCAGGCGCGGCGGAGCTGGCGGTCCCCGGGCTGGTCCCTGGGCGCAGACCCCCGGAGCCCGGGTCCGTGGTCCTTTGTGCGTGGCCGCAGCCGGGCTGGCCTGAGGTCGGGGCTCCGCGCCGGGGCGCGCGCAGAGTGGCTCGCGGCGCCCCGGAGGCAGCGAGGGGGCAGCGGGCTGGCGTCCTGGGCGCCCGCCTGGCTGTGCCGCGCTGGCGGCTACCGCGGGGCCCCGGCCGCTGCCGCTCGCGTCGCCGCCGCCGCCGCTGCGGCTGCTGACATTGCAGAGGCGGCAGCTCCGTCTGAGCCGAGCGCGGCGCGGCGCGGAGGGGGCGGCCCTGCCGGCCGGGAAAGGGGGGGCGGAGGTGCGGGGCGGAGCCGCGGGCTTGCCTGCGCCGAGCCGCCCGCCACTCTCCCGCCGCCCGTCTCCCGCGGCGACACGCGCTCCGCCGCTGGGGGGAGACAGCGGCGCGCCGGGGCGGCGAGCGCCGGGCTGCGGGGTACGGGCGCGCGAGGCCAGCCTGCGGGCAGGAGCCTGGGCGAGGGGGGGGGGGGGGGGGGCTGGCAGGAGAAGGGGCGAGTGAACGCCCCAATGGGACTGTCTCAGACTCTGGTCCTTCCACTCTTACCGGGCTCGCTGCGCCCCCCGCTCCGAGCCCCCGACCTCACTTAACCTCCTTAGAACAATCCGAAGGGGAAGCGGTGTGGGCAGCACGGAAAGCAGCCTGATTACTAATTCTCTTGGACCAGATGGAGCCCGAGGTCCCGCACAGCCGTCCTGAGCCTGCAGGGACCGGGACTAGGGGATCAGTGTCGGGACGCTTTCATAAAGACTGATCTAAGAATCATGACTGGGGAGGAAGGGGTGAGAATCCCGCCCGAATCCCGCCCACCCCAAACCTCTTGAAATCCCTAGAGATAACCTTAAAGGGTTAATGTAATGCGGAATTAATCCCCTGCCCCAGCGGGCTCCTGAGTTCTGGAAAGAGGTCCCCAGAGGAGGGATAGTCAAACACTGGTTTTTCACTCCTTTCCGAAAGGATGCGGGGAAAGGCGTCGAACATTAGCGCCTGTGGGTGCGCAGCCCAGCTCCGGGGACAGGACTCTCTGTGATCCCAGAGTCCTGGGTATCCACCACTGACCTCCAGACCATCCGCGGAAAAGGAGGGGAGCCTCCTTCAGCCTGGACGCTTTCCTTTCTCCCCTCCTTTTCTGTCTTTAACCCCTAAAGCTTATTTTTGTCTGTGAAAATTTCGGATAAAATGCATGGTCAGAGCCTCGGGAGCTGGAACAACCTTGGGAACTGGTGAAGCGTCAGTGCTAGCAGGAAGCGCGATGTCATGTGTGGCCTAGAGATCACCTATGAAAATAGGAAAACATTACCCGGAGAAGCTAAATGGCTGAGGATTCTACCTTCAGTACTGTTCCTGGTTAGAGTTCCTGGGGAGCCTCGGAGTTCATCAGCCCAGTGTATTCATTCTGGTGCCAACATGATTTTTTTTTTATTTTTGTTTAAATTTCTTTATTGATTAAGGTATCATATATTTGTCCTCATCCCCCCATTCCCATCCCAAACCCCTCCCCACGCATGCCCCAACCCCCCTGTTGTCCTTGACCATTGGTTAGGCTCATATGGATGCACACAAGTCCTTTGCCACCATGATTTTTAAAATCCGCTTTTATTCTTTTCACTTTTCCAAATTATTAAAAAATTCCACTGTGAAAAATAACTCTTTAGGCCACTGTGGACGGACACTAGTAAGGGTCTGGGATTTGGTTTTCTGGGGTTGTCTACCAGACGTCAGCAGAATCCTCACAAGCTCTGCCAGGTGAGCAGGGGTTGCCTGCACTCTGGCTTGCTGTTCCCTGGAGAGATGACTGACTATACACAAAGATGCATTTCTGCGGATGCTGTTTTCTCGTGGGTGGAACTGGGTAGTGCAGTGGCCCAGGCAAGACCAGGGATTGGTGATGGAGTCTCAGCTGCCACCGCCTGAAGAAGTCCATTTGTTTGGGTCTCATGCACTTTTTTGGTGGCTCTACTTTATCCAGTTCTAATTTTTAAAGATAAGTTGAGAAGGAAGATGAAATTTTTATCTGTAAACATTTCACATAAAATGCTTCTTCAAAGTCTCAGAAGCTGTAGCAACCTAGGAACTGGTGAAGCTTCAATGTTTGCAGAAAGTGTGCTGCCATGCATGGTCTAGACTAGTCAGGCCCTGTGATAGTGAGAGGCAGAGATCACCTATGAAATATAGCCTGTCTCTTAAGTACTGTGAGTTCATTTAACCTGGAGGGAGAAAGGATGTGAAAAAGTCCCATTTTAATGGTGAAGTAACTGAGTTTTTTTAAAAACATATTTTATTGATTTTTTTACAGAGAGGAAGAGAGAGAGATAGTTAGAAACATTGATGAGAGAGAATCATCAATCAGCTGCCTCTTGCACACCCCCTATTGGGGATGTGCCCGCAACCAAGGTACATGCCCTTGACCGGAATCAAACCTGGGACCTTCCAGTCCACAGGCCGACGCTCTATCCACTGAGCCAAACTAGTTTCGGCAGAAACTGAGTTTTGAAGAGGCTCAGCTACGTGCTTCCACCTATAGCTTGGTCCTTGTGCCTCCAGGCCCTGTGCTGAGGTTGGCCAGCTGCCTCAAAGAGCACACTACATACCAGGTCTATAATCCAGAAGCCTCCACAGGTGTAGTGCTCACTGTCACTGAACCAGCTGACCTTGGATGAAGCTCAGGGATGTTATCTGCTATGGTTTGGGAAAGGTTTAACTGAAATCCAAAGGTGCTGTCTGTAAGGCCTTTATTTTTTAATGAAATCATTACTAGGGTGATAATAAAATTTATTGTCTGAATGTAGATTTTTGTTGTTGTTGAGAATGAAAGAATCACAATTAATACTGTTACTGCAAGAGGCCAAAGCAGGACTAACCGACATGAGATGGTAGTCATCTTACTTATTATCTACCAGTCACACAGTATCTCATCAGCTCTGGAAGGGCTAAAGCCATATGTTAGTTAGAAAGCCATATGTTAGTACAGTTACAACTAGAGGGGAAGCATTAAAGTAAATTATACCTACTCCACTTGAGGATATATTACAGACAGTCCTCAGGTTCCATTGGACTCAACATACGTTGTTTCATGGTTACATTGCCGTCTCCCATTTATTTATTTTAAAAAAAAGTTCCGTTATTTCGATGTATGTACATATGTGCTTTATGTTTTTTATTATCTATTTACCACAAATAAAGCTCAGGAATTGTTATTTTTCTTTTAATTTTTTTTTTACTGTTTCACTTCATTATTACTGCTGTGTATGTGCTCTATTGAGTGATGTAGGTGCTTATGTAGGTGGGTTCTGACTTATGGTGAAAATCACCTTACGTAGCCTGTAGGAACGCATCTCTGAAGTAACCAGAGGCCCTACTGTATACAGCAGTTGTTTATAGTAATAACAATTATATAGCAAATGAAAATATTTATGACTTACATAATAATGTTGAGGAGGCAGAAAGCAAAATTATATTCACACTGTATCTGCATCTTATGTGTCCCATAAGGTTAAAAAGATTAAAAATTGATGCCCTAGTCCAGTGGTCGGCAAACTCATTAGTCAACAGAGCCAAATATCAACAATACAATGATTGAAATTTCTTTTGAGAGCCAAATTTTTTAAACTTAAACTTCTTCTAACACCACTTCTTCAAAATAGACTGGTTCAGGCCATAGTATTTTGTGGAAGAGCCACACCCAAGGGTCAAAGAGCTGCATGTGGCTTGAGATCTGCAGTTTGCCAACCACGGCTCTAGTCCATTCATCCAAACCTTTACTTCGGTGACAAGAAGGCCTGTGTGGTCTGTAAACCACCCCTCCTTTTCCTATCCTGAAAAATTCTAGAATGTCCCACTTCTATAAACAAGGCATGGGGCCTGTTGGCCACGAGTTTGACATGGTTGATGTAGAGGTTCTATTTTGTTGCTGTAGTTATTCTCTTTTACTTGATTTTCAATTATTCTGAAAAGGAATAATCTCCCATGAATGGGAGAAAGGAACCCAAGTTCTGCATATTTTTGTAAAAACTGCCACTGGAGACAACTAGCCCCTGGAACCATTGATTCAAATGCTCATGGGAGAGTCATTGACAGTTACAGTGCAATTAATTCCCTGACCGACCAACATCCTTCCCCCTTCCTTTCTCCCGTTCATGATAGGTTAGCCCAGAATCTCTCTGAAGACATTCCCTAACCATCCTGCTCCCCCCCTCATCACTACTTGTGAACAGAGGAAGAGTTAGAGATCACTGTGGTCCTTAGAGATTCTTTTATTTGACTAACTTGTTCTCAATTCAACTGTCCTAATATTGTAAACTTAATTTCAGAAGGCTAATATTTAGTTTGTTAACAATTTTTTTTCATTATAACTATAATATATTCCTTCTGTCCCATTGAGACTGCCTGCTGGAAATAGCCTACACAGAGCACAGGCTCTGTGGCACCTTTCCCTAACTCACAGGGCTTTCATGCTGCTCTTAGTTCTCAAAGCCTTCACTTCAGTTTGCTGTTTTCCATACAAACCTAACTCAGGATGGCAAGTAGGTTTTAGCTCCTTGCCAACTTGGATCAAGTAGTGGAAGCTGCCAGCGGTGTTCAGAAGGATAAGTGGGCTGAGAGAAGAATGTGGCCATTGATTTAAGGATGTCTGCTGTAAAGTGCTGGATGAGCAGCATTCTATATACCAGGCTG